CCTCTCACCGCGACACCCCTCCCCATGGGGCTCCCATCCGGCCCCACAGAGGCAGCCCTGGGTGGGGGGCTCAGCCCATCTCCCATCCTCTCTGCAGTACATGGTGGGGGGGTCCCCGCTCCCCGCCGGCACGGCCCCCTCCACGCATCTCCCCATCACAGCCGCCACCAATTCCTTCGGGACGGTCGCGGGAAACTCCGCCAACCTCGCCACGACGGACGGACACCTCTGGAAGTACAGACGGACCGACAGCAGAGCCATACAAGCTCCCAGGTCCTGGAAGGCTAAATAAAAACCTTTGCGGCCCAAAGGTCCTAAACGTAAAATTTTTCTGTTCACTTTTCCCGAGGGTCGACCGCCCGCCCCGCTGGGCCGGGAGAGATGCTCGGCCGCCACCGTGTCCACCTTGACGTAGGGGTTCTCCATCCACGGGGGCGCCGACGCCGTCGCCGTGTCGGCGTCCGATTCGTGATAGAAAACGTTGAAAGTTTCTTTGCAGGGCCGGGGGGGGGCGGGGAGGGGGCTGCGGCGGGGGCGGGAGGCGTTGCTATGGGCGCCGTTGCTATGGGAACGGAGGCTTTGGGGGATGTCGGGGGGGCTGCTGTTGTGGTCGCAGCATCCCTTGGGTCCGTTGCTAGGGCCGTTGCTAAGGGCATCCGTGTTCCTGAGCCTGTTGCTAGGGCCGTTGCTATGGACATGGATGCTCCTGGAGCCGTTGCTAGGGCCGTTGCTATGGACATCCGTGTTCCTGAGCCCGTTGCTAGGGCCGTTGCTATGGACACTGCGGCTCCGCCTGTTGCTAAGGCCGTTGCTATGGACATCCGTGTTCCTGGAGCCGTTGCTAGGGCCGTTGCTAAGGGCATCGGAGCTGCTGGGTCCGTTGCTATGGTCATAGCATCCCTTGGGTCTGTTGCTAGGGCTGTTGCTAAGGGCATCCGTGTTCCTGAGCCCGTTGCTATGGACATGGATGCTCCTTGAGCCGTTGTTAGGGCCGTTGCTATGGGCATCCGTGTTCCTGAGGCCGTTGCTAAGGCCGTTGCTATGGACATCCGTGTTCCTGGAGCCGTTGCTATGGACATGGATGCTCCTGGAGCCGTTGCTAGGGCCGTTGCTATGGACATTGGTGTTCCTGAGCCCGTTGCTATGGTCACAGCATCCCTTGGGTCCGTTGCTAGGGCCGTCGCTATGGACACTGACGCTCCCGGACCCGTTGCTACGGCCATCCGTGTTCCTGAACCCGTTGCTATGGCCGTTGCTACGGACGCTGCGGCTCCGCCTGTTGCTCGGGCCGTTGCCATGGGAACCCCACGGTCCATCAGCGGGGCCGTTGCCATGGACGCCGCTCGATCCATCACCGACGCCGTCGCCGCGGGGACCCCCCGGCCGATCTCCGGGCCCGTCGCCATGGAAACCGCGCCCCCCCCCATCCGGACGGATGCGCCGAAGGGCCGCTGGCCGGTTGTTGTTGCCACGGTAACGGGCGATCAGACTGTCGCACTCCACCACGGTGTACCGCAGCTCGGCGTAGACGTGGGTGGCGCCGCGCCGTGGGACCCAAGTGGAGCGCAGCCAGCTGTTCTGGGGGGGGCCGGGGGGGCGCAGACCCGAACAAACCTCGAACGTCCGAACCGCCGTCTGCCGCTCCTCGTCCAGACCGCTCAGCTCCTCCCACTGGGGGGGGGGAA